ATGCGGGGCTCGATCCCAGGACCCTGGGATCATGACCTGAGCCGAAGGCAGACGCTTAACGACTGAGCCACCCAGGCGCCCCCTTATCTGGTCTTATAATTAGGATTAAAATTTTAGACTTTTGACTATTTCCTTCACTCCCCTTATTAATACACCCCTCCCCTGCCCAGCCATGGCTTTCTTTCTGGGATTTTTGGATTGTTTTTGTTCTCATGGTGGCCCTGGCTTGGCTTTCTGGGACTGACAGATTGATGCATCACTGTTAATATCAGTTTTTGCATCTGACCTAGCAATGTGGGAGAGTTTTATTTTAGCAAAGGTGGGTGTGATGTGTTGACAAAGGGAGCAGTTTCTCATGTTCTATAAATAAGGTAACAACATTGTGTACTTTTTACAGAAATACCAACAGAATGGGTTTCCTGAAACGGATCTTCAGGAATTCCTGAAGGAATGTAGTAGCAAAGAGAAGTATCAGAAAGAGTCCTCAGCCTTCTTGTCGTGCGTCTGCTGCCTGAGGAGGTCAGTACTGTGTTTAAGCAGGTCTCCATGCTCCTAAGGTGAGCTTCTCCGTGGCCTTAACAAAGAATTCTTCCAAGGTTTACTCTACACTCAGAAATCAGCTTGTTGTGGGAAATAATTTGTCTTTCATTTTCTTTCCTCCCACTGAAACTGGCTTCAGAAATGAATTGTTTCTTCTAAAACAGGGTAGAAAGCTACATGACATGGTTGAAATCTCTTGGGAATACATGAGTTATGTCCCTAAAGTCAAGAAGGTGAATTCTGAGGTGGCCAAGTAAGAGGTCAAAACACTTATTTTTAGAGGTGGACCTCTGGGAATGTCAAAGGCCTTTTCCCTTGCTGCAATATTTGGTACAAAAAACCTTTCTTGAGCAGAGTAGGAAACCTCCTTGAGAGGAGGCTGTGCATAACCTTGGCTGGGAACACACATCAGAAGCTCTGCCTTGACCAACGGCACTTTGCTCATGTTCAGCCGGACACTTATGCAAATGGTCTGCACCTCAGCGGCAACACATCCACATGGTGTTTTGGGGACTAGAATGGAGGTCAGATGAGGATACTTTTCTTAATTGTACCCTTATTTGTTTTCATGTGAAGTCAGAGGTGGGGTGTTAACTAAAAATATCCCCTACCCATGTTTTTCGAGAAGAATTCTCTAAACCAAATTCCTGAAGGAAGATGGAAGAACATAATTGCTACTTAAAACCACAGGATGTATTTTCTGTTAATCAATTCATACCACATCTTGGGATTTTGAAATGATATGATTGAGCATTTCCAAAGAATGTCTGGTAAATATGAAATGAGGTCTTCTGAGAAAAGTGAAGTTTCTAAAAATCACATTTCTTCCTCTTAGAGCATTAAATTATTGACATAGGAGCTGGGATAAGGAGAAATTAATTTTCCTAATAGGCAGCTGCTTCCTAAGAGGCACCTTGTATAAGGAAAAGTCTCACAAAGTTGCTTTTTCTGATGTGTATTTAACTGTAAAGAAAAAATATTCATCAGAGGATATAATTGTGAATTCTGGAAAGTAACCAATCAGTCTTAGGTGTTTGGTTTTTGGAACTTGGTGTGCATCACAAAAAGCCACAGGAGGCGGTTAAATGTTTTCTAGAGCAGCCATATGGAACGAGTAGAAGGTTTAAGGGGTGGACGGGAAAAGTTCTTGATCAGATTGGGTCTGAGAGCTGAGAAGAAGTAGCAGTATCAGCAGACTGTCCACTGTATGGTGTGCTAGGGGCCGTCGAGAAGATGCTGGTTCAGGGGGAGCTCTGCTCGTCATGACGAATGAAAGAATTAAATGGAATGAGGGAGTCTATCAAGGAAGTCAACTGAAGAACTAAATGTTGAAAGTTTTGAACAAAGGGATAGCAAAAATAAAAACAGTAGTGTCTGTTCCCAAAGATGGTTATGGGTGAAATCAGCTGGAGCAGTTTGAGTTGAATCATCAGATCAAGGCCTGGATCCCGGGCAGATTTGGATGGACCCTGCCGAGAGTAAGTGAAGATCATGGGACTGATGCAGGAAATGGATTGTACTGAGAATAAATGATGGCTTTGACTCCATCAAAACCTCAGTACACCTGAATGTGTTTAAAGGCTACGAAGCTACGAATGGTTTAATTGAGGAAGGCCATAAATGGAGAGTAAATATTGGAGCAGGACGTCACTGAGGGAATCTGGGGAGGGAGGGCAGCACAAATGTTGGTGTCTGGGGCCCCTGGCTGGTGCCCGTGACTAACAGCCTCAACTATCACAGCTCTGTCTCCTGCAGAGCAAGATGAAGGTCACTCTTTTTTAATCAAGCAGTCCAGCAACCACCACAGACTGATTCTCCTTCAAATTATTGCCAGAGCCTCTAGCCTGATCATCAGAACACCTGGGTTTCTGTTTTGGACCCTACCGGTTACTGAGTGTGTTCCCTGACCTCTCCTTAACCTGCTGGTCTTTCCAGTGCCACCAGGCTGCAACATGACCTCTGAAACCTCTTCCAGTTCTAATGTGATGTGATTCTTTGGAAAAATCTACTGAGTTGGACAGATGCAGAGTTAACCTTTCCCCTTCTCCACTGCAGCGAAGGGGAAAATCTGTTGTAGCCATCGAGTGAGGCTTTGTCAATATAGGGAGATGCAGGGTCCCAGGACAGGGACAGCTCTTCAGAATTGCCAAAGGCATCTGCTCAAACCAAAAATAATGTGCACTGTCCTTCTTAACCTTTCTTCCTCTTACACGTGGCATTCAGCAGGTCTAGAACCTATACATGCCTAGAACGTTAAGTATTCTTATTCCAGCTCCAAGATTTTGAAATCATTGTTTTCTCTTTCTCCCTCCCCCTTTCTGATACAGGAGGGGAAGTGATGACCACTTGATACTTGTCAACTAAAGTCCTTCTGCTAAAGATAATCAAGTTTCAGGCCTTTCTACCCAGTGACAGTGCAGAGGGACCCCGAACAGCTTGGAGCAGCACTTCGAAAAATACTGACTTATTACTGGTGGAGCAGGAAAGAGGACTGTCAGCTGGTTGAACACAACTGAAGTTCCAAAGTTCCTTTTATAAACTTGGATGGGATGAAGCATAGACTACAGTCAACTACTGGGCATGAGTGCAATAGAGCAGAGATAATGACATTCTGCACGGGACTTTAATTTATGACATCACAGTGTGGGGCTGGGAAAAAATATCACATTTCAGAGTGTGCAAAAACAATGGCACTTAAAGCCGTGCATTGAAAGATGCGTGTTTATCATGCACTAGGTGTTTGTTTTAAAAGTGATTCTTGGGTTAGAAGACATTTGTTAATTCATGGTGTGCACAGCAATGAAGTTGGTTGTGATACTAAATTAAAAATTCCAAGTTGGAGAACCATTAAGCCTTTTAAAGAACACACATCAACAAAAAGACCTCTTGTAGTGGACATTTCTAGGCCTGTTTGTATGTGTGTGTGTGTTTCAGCATGACAGGAAGCAACTGTTGGCATTGTCAGTGGGATAAATTGGAAATAGAGTCATTTGGACACCTTGTCACTTGTGCTAATTGTTGATTGTACACATGACATGTGGAAGTGAACTGTAACAGTGCTCACTCATTTTAACAGTTGAACTCTACTATGGTGGTGATTTGCCCTTGTCAAGCAAGGAAAGATGGTATTTTTTTCCCAAATAAATTTATTTTATCACAACAAATGGAGCTACTGCTTTTTTTTTTTTTTTAATGTGGTATTTCTTAATATCTACCTAGTGCAAAATTCAGATCACATCTCTTTTAACTATCTGGTCTCCAAAAAGGATTTCTCACTTTCTTAAAGGCAGTGAAGGAGGGGTTAGTATATAGAAGTTATTCAATAAATATTTATGATAATGACTTGAGATTAAGATCACTTCATGCATCGATTTATCTCATACTTGTGCTATCTTTTAGGGCTCAACTATTTTAAATTTATTAGTGAAGAACAGAACTTGAATTAAGCAGGACCCTCATCCCAAGCCTCTCTCTTTTTTCCCTGCCCCTCCTGGCCAAGCTCCTATCAGATTTACTTTCTCATACCCCTCCCTTTGCCCCCCCTTCACCAAATCTAGGCCAGGAAAATCATTCACTTAATATCATTAAAATAAGTGAGTGACTCATGTCTACACACAGAATACTTTGCCAAAATGATCATTTTAGTTAAATTTTTTTTTTAAAAAGATTTATTTATTTGAGAGAGAGAGAGCATGAACGGGGTGGGGTAGGGGCAGAGGGAGGGGAAGAAGCAGACTCCACACTGAGCAGGGAGCCCAACTTGGGGCTCGATCCTAGGACCCCGAGACCACGACCTGAGCCGAAGGCAGACGCTTAAATAACTGAGCCACCCGGGCACCCCATTTTAGTTAACTTCTTACCAAAAAATGTCAAGGGTTACTTTCAACTTTTAAACTAATGACCATTTAACTGGTGGTTCTAGGGTCATTCCCAAGACTCCAGAATCAGGTATGCAGTTAGATCACTCGCTCACTTCTGAGTGCACCCCCAGTATTTAGCTTGTCTCTGAATAGAAGTGCTATTAAAGCCTTTCTGTAATCTGCAGCAATGACTGCCATTTGAATAGAAGATGAATGATGGTCTTCCATGCTTGTGTTTTTCTTTTATTGGCTTTCATGTTTCCTTTTATTTCTTTTCCCTCCAGCCGAACAAAACCCTTTCAGGAAGAAAAATCTTTTTCAAGGTGACCCTCTCTCCATGGAAGCCTTGTTTTCTCTCTTTTTAATAATTTTAAACAATTATCATTTTACCAAAGGTATTATCTGTTTGGATTTTATTGAACAATGTTGCTCACAGAGCTCTGCTAATAGACACATCTGGGACAAACCATTTTTTCTCCCACCTAGGCCTCCACTTGGAGAGTTCACCCTGGAAGGTGGGAGACGTGTTCTGTCTGGTTCTGCTGGTTTCATCCTGGGATCTCCATCTCTTGACGATGTACATTGTTGGCTTGCAGGGACTCCCTCACAGCTGGACGCAACCCCCTTGAGCTTGTTGACCTGGGGCAGGAGGAAAGGGCACAGGTGTGGGAGCCATCTGGACTGACTCGAGTGAAAGTCCAAGTCTCCCCTGGAGCTTTGTGGCCCTGGGCACATTACTCTCTGCTTCTAAATGATGATAAACCTCAACGGACTGTGGGACTCGCATGTGAGTCAGAGAACTCAGACAAACCCGGCATTGAAATCGAAACCTGAACCATTCTTTCCTTTTGATTTTTCTGCCATGTTTGTAAGTAGGTTCCATGGGACCAGGCAATAGTGAAGACATTAGATGTTTAGTCTGCATCCCTTCTTCCTACTGAGTCTCCTTGGACAGATCCCACAGGGCCTCAGTTTCCTCTTCTGTACAGTGGGGACCGTGAGGATTAAATGAGTCAAACATGAAGTGCCTTGAACTGGGCATGACTCCTGAGGGCATGGTGAATGTTGTACCTTCGAGAAGATTTTCTTTTTTCTTTTTTCTTTTTTTTTTAATATTTATTTATTTGACAGAGAGAGACACAGTGAGAGAGGGAACACAAGCAGGGGGAGTGGGAGAGGGAGAAGCAGGCCTCCCGCGGAGCAGGGAGCCCGATGCGGGGCTCGATCCCAGGACCCTGAGATCACGACCTGAGCCGAAGGCAGATGCTTAACGACTGAGCCACCCAGGCGCCCCGAAGATTTTCTATCATAGTCTACAAATGTGCAGATCTATTCACCTCGGCTGGCCAGGAAGATCTTTATTTTGTTGTGAACTCACCACACACTTTTGGTGGACTATGCTCCGGTTAGGACTTTAAGTGTGTAAATACCCCACATCCAGTCCTGTGTAACAGTAGTGGGAGGGCAGCCTGGCTCAGGGGAGGCCTAGGCTCAGCATCTCAGGGTTAGAAAGAGCACAGCAAGCCAGCCTTTTACTCTAAGGACACACAGCCAGTCACCCTGCAATGCCCGAGGGCCCCCTGTAGAAGTGGCCCAGCGCTCTCACCGACGGGCAGGGGCCCTGGAGTCACTGGGGGAGTATGCTCGGTGAACTGCTGCTGTGGTCTTGACCATGGATTGCTCCTGCCACTACAAAGATCCATGCTGTGTAAAGATAATGAGTCCCGTCATCTGAAGGATTCCCCTGTAGCCGCCACTTATTTCAGTAACTTTGGGTGACTAGATCGTGCTTTATTATTAACCATTTCCACGTAACTCGAGCAAATTTAATTTTGCTACTCCTCACTTCAAGTTTGAACATCTCAGCCATAACGTTAGCTGAGTCTCTCTACCAAATCCAGAAGTTCGCACTGCTTGTGAGACACACAGGAGCAGCTCTTGTGGGACCGAGGGACTGAGAACCCCCCAGATGAACCCCTGAGCATGGTGCTCAGATCTGAGGCACTCGAGGAGGGACAGTGAGCTCTGGGCACCGGAGAGGAAAGGTGCTGCGCAGAGCTGGAGCCAGTGCCGAACACCTCTGCTTTTTGGCCCCTTCCGTCTGAGATGCTTGATATCGATGCTGTGCAGCTTTGTGGCCGTGTGACCTGTGCGTTCCCAAAGGACCCCACACGGTGTTTCATGCTTTGCCCTCACAGCCTTGCAATTCTTAATATTTTTTGAACAAGAGGCCCCACAAGTCACGTAGCAAATTCTCATGATAGGACAGTGTAACTCAGTGACGACCTCAGCGATTAAAGCATGGCCCTTTAGGAAAAAGCTAGGAACCCAGCATTGTACTTTACCTTTAAACCAATTGAAATTTAACGAAAGGAAAGAGTGAACCTGAGTGCATCGGCAGGTTGGAGGCTAGGCGGCTCACCTTTCCCCCCATGCCTCATTTTCTTACTTTCTGTTCCATGCGTTTCCCTTGACAGAGAGGCAGCTGAGGGCAGTTCATCCTCTAAACTCTAGCATGTTCGCCGAGGTTACCATATGACCTCCGACCTGGCTCAGCAAAGGCTTGTGGGACCTGCTCCACCGGACGGTCAGATGCTCTCTCCAAGCTCTTTGCAGCCATCTCCTGTTAGAATGAAGGGCCTGTCTTGAATGGGGAGATGTAGGATTGTTAAATATGCCGTGTGTTGGAGAAAAGGACATATTAGCCCTGGGAAGATATCACGATGAACCAAATCCCAAAATAGACATTCAAGTTGTTAGGGAAAACAATACAACTCATGGCCATCCTACCATGGGCTCATTTACAGCAAATGCTGTGGCAAACCAGTGGGTGGAAATGGTGACAAGTGTCTCTCCTGCCATCTGTCTTTGCCAGAGAACCGGGGAGTGAATGAGAAGCTAAATGAGTCACATACAACATTTCCACACCATCTTGTATAACAAGGACAGCAAAACTCTGACTTCTTAAAGACCCCTGGGAGCTATTGGTTGTGGTGAATGGGAGAGACAATTTATTAGGGTGATGTATGTTTCTTAGTTTCTAATGATACATAAATTATCCCATGAGCCATGATACATACGGTTTAAAGAGAATTTTAAATGAAAGCAATTTTTTTTTCTAGCAACACTAATTGCCTAGCAGCAGTAAATTACTCATCCCCCGCTGCTGTGGGCTGTGGTCATTATTCTCTCCTCGAGGTTGAGCAGATGTCCCCCAAGAGGAATGTTTGCTTTGACAAAGTGAATTGACATCCTCTCTTGTGAGCCTGCCATGCTGGGTCTACCAGAGGAGAGAGTATTAATAGCACCATTTGGACTGAGCACAGTGGTTGTGCCAACCCGCATGTGTTATCCATGATAGCCAGACAATGAGTTGGTCTTAGCTCTTGGTTGCCTTTGGGGGGAAATCAGGGAGCTGTTATCAATATTTAATTTTCTCCAGCTGGGGGGTTTGAGAGGTAGACTTGGCTAATAAGCGTGAACGTTTCCTAGATGACAAGTTAGGCAAGGGAAGTGATAAGCACCACTAATTTGGGGAAACACTAGGTAACAATATGACGTGTAGATGGAAAATGGAGATTCTATTAAACACCATTAATTCAGTGCATATTTGTTGATTTCCAATACTGTGCTAGGTACTAAGGACGTAAGGAATGAATGCCACGACCTCTGGCCCCAAGAAGTTTGGAGTCTAGTGGGAAAGACAACAATGTACAAAGCAAGGATAAGACAGGGTCACCCCGAGTGCTATATGAGAGCAGAATGGCCATAGCTCCTGCCTGTCTGAAGTATAAATTAAGGCCTCTTAAGGAGAACTAGACAATGTTAGAACTGAGACTTGAATAATACATTGTGCTTGACCAGATGGCCATGGTGTGGGGTCAGCATAGAGCTTTCTGAAGAAAAGCAATGGTAGGCCAAAGGCATGGACATCTGAGAGAGAACCCAGCCAGTTACAAAAGCTGTTTTGGAGTGGTTAGAATGTAGGTTATGTATTGAGGAAAGTCACGGAAGACAAGACCAGAGAAGTGACAGGCAAGGCCACAGGGACTGTGAACACCAGGGGAGCTACACGACCCTAAAAGGCAGAACCATGAAGGACGGATTGGGGTTGGGTGAGATGAGCAGGGGAATTAGTTACAAAGCTGCTGCTATCATCCCAATTAAAACAACAAAACAGTGATGCTATTTCCCTGTAATTACACCCAATAACAAACACAAGGAGAAATTTGCCTGAAAACTGTCTCTAGGGAATATACTAGATCTCATGTATATGTTTTATCTATCTGTATACATATTTTTTC